CCCAGTGGCTATATCAGTCCACCCAATGATGCCTGTATCTAACTATAACCAGCATCAATTACTTTTGGGTGGACTGATTCCTAATCATCACAGTGAGTTAAAGTGAAAATTGACAGCTGGCGCTTTGAGCGTACTAGTTTATTGATATAGGTACAAACATTGGAGGACAGGTGTCGGATTTGACCTTTATGGTTGCAATAAGGAACATTTCTATGCTTCTAGGTCCTACCTGACTATGGTAAATATACCCTGCCGGAGCTTTCATGCAAGAGTTGGTTGGCTGGGTTGCATTTTCCAGGTCAGTTCTTGTTGTTTTCCCCTAAAGCTGGCCACACACCTATAGATTATCTGCAGATTTCCTATGGTCAGATGGAGTAAGTGCAACAGATTCCTCCATCTACGCTAAACTGTGTGGATGGAGGAATCTCCCACTGGGACAAGCTTAAGTATCTTGCTAGTCGGCCCCGCTGGCTCTCAAAATACCTGAACCATCTGATTGGATGCAAGCATTGTTCGGGTGTTTTGAGTGTCCAGCGGGGATGACTAGTAAGATACTGAAGCTTGGCCAAGTGAGAGATTCCTCCATCCACACAGTTTAGCATAGATGGAGGAATCTGTTGCATTTTTTCTTTCTGACCATAGAAAATCTGCAGATAATCTATAGGTGTGTGGCCAGCTTTAGAGAGACTGGTACGGTGATGTATGCTAAGCACTCCCTCTCAGGGCTGGTTAATGCCACATCCAGTGCGTTTTAGCTTGGCCACTAACCGTGCTAGAACGCACTAGATGTGGTGAGAACCAGCCCTCGGTACTAAAGCTCGGTATACATGGTTAGAATTACTTTACACACACACACACACACACACACACACACACACACATACACACACACACATATATGTGTGTATTTTTTTTTTTGTTTTGTTTGTTAGTACGTGCCCATGCATATCAACTTTTGGTATTAAGTATTGATTTTCAACAGCCAATCAGCATTCAGCTTATAGAGGTCAACTTGATTTACCTTTTGATCTTGCATTGATTGCTGTTAGGTTATTACACATCACTGCTGTCTGCATAGGAATATTAAGTACCTATGTGTCACATTTCTGCACAACTTTTTAGGATTATCCCGGTGCCTCTTGGCCTTTGTATGCAGATGACGGATAATGATCTCCAGGTTTGAGCATGGTATCTGTATAACATGACACTGTGGATTAGAAAGTTGAAAGATAATTAGCAGTTGGGAAATCCAGGCTAAGAACACACACCTTTTTATATCCTGCTATGTGGAAACCACAGACACTCCCATATAGCTGCAGAGAACACAGCAATGTTTTGTTGGTGAAGTGTCACATTCCTCCTGACCTGCCGTTAGCGTAAAAGGGTAGAACGTTGCTCAATACGTTTACATCTTCTGGGCTGATATCACAGTGCAAAGAGCAGTGATGATTGGCAAAGTGCAGTAATCGCTAAACAATCGGATTTCAGTTTATTGGATTAAAAAACAATGCAAGAGATATTATAAATGGGTGGCATGGTTATGGTTTCTATGCATGTTTTTATTTTTACGGGTAGTGTAAGAGTTAAACCTTGAGCAGTACTTCTGAAGGACAGAATGGCTCATTATCACATGCAGACATTTTTCTAAATGTTAGTAAGCATGATAAGATGGCCAGATGTTTTACTGCCCGTCTTTTTAGTGAGAAGCCAGTCAGTTTTCTGCCTTCGTTTTCCCACATTGCACTGTGAGGATGAAGGGGAGAATCTGGCTGCTATAGGCGGCAGTTTTTTATTTGATGCTCATGTAAAATAAATTACAGGATCACCTTGTGAAGTATTTCTTTGTAAGTATTCCTTCAGAGGGCCATATAGGTTGCAGAGTATTACAAGTGCTGGGATAACCATGTTCTCCCATTTACTCACCGAAGTATGCTGTGTGAACTTCTCCCCAACTTGGTCAAGAAATGTTTGTTGTGAACACTCTGTGATAGAATAACCATTCCCTTTTCTCATAAGAGCTTGTAATCGCTCTCTAGTTAACCCTTCCAGTTCTTGGTAATTGGTTCTCAGTGTGTCTGCTTGCTCAACACCCACTTATCTCTCTTGCTTAGAAATAAAGAAGCCACCTGGGCATGCATGCGTTTTAAATAAGAAATAGTCTTTACTTACTTAGACCTTGCCTAAGTCTAACCACCATATGATGTCTGTGACCAACTTTCGTCAGACTAAAACTGTCCTGCTGTTTATCAGATCTCAAGATATACAGTCCTTTTTCTGAAACATTGAACTTCTCCCTTGAGGCAAGTCACTCTCATGGCCATCGCCTCTTGCCTTTCACTAATGGAGCTGGAGCAGGATATGTGATCCTTGGCATTGCGCCTTTGAAGCTGCACACACACCGAGGTGTACATTTCAGCCAGAAACCCACTGAGATCCAAGGATAAAACACTGATCTCACTGTACTCGCCTAGAGGATCAGATGATGCCCCCTCAGACCTGTGTTGGCTATCACACCGGGCCTCCGTAATCTAGAGGCTGTAGTGACCCTTACACTGCTGAGCTCATATTATTCCGAAAACCCAGACATCCTGTTTTGACTTCTGATCATAGACTGAGCATGGTACACTGTGTTAAAGGTGTTCCACCTTCTCAGTTAATGTATTCAAATTTCAGGGCAGCAGAAGTTAGGCCAGAATAACTAGTTGTTGTTGCAGAGACCTGGAAATAAATACTCGGTCTCTTCACACCAAATGTGTTATTTTTCCACATAGAAACTTATTGTCAACGATTTTTCTGGTTTTATCTTCAGAAAATCCTCCATTTTTGATGGTCTTCTTCTATTGCTGATAGTATGAGGCACCTGTCTAAATAGTTTTTTGTGTATTTGTCACCCTGCGTCTGCAGTCCTGTTTAGTCATCTCTGACCATTTACCAAACATCTGCATAGATTTATGTTCGTATATGCCATACTTCAACTAAAGGCAACGTTTATTGAGAGAAATGTTTAGAATGTCATTGCTGTCCTCTACTACACGTGCCCATTGCCTGACTGGTCCAATGATATCAGTATTTTGACTCGCTTACCTGGGAAAAGCACACGGATCAGGAGTTTTGCGTTTTCTTGCTGTATTCTGGATCCGCTTTGGAAGTCAGAGATACCAGGCAGTTAGCATTTTTCAGAAGGTAGTCAGCAATGGTAGCCTGCATACCTGTGTTGGTATGCAGGCTATGGCTGCAACCACAGTGTTGTTCTTGTGCATTGTTTAACTGCAGTGGGAAGTACGTTGCAACACGCAAGAGTGCACGCAATGATGCATTTCCATTGCTTTAAATAGAAGAAGCATCTGGCCAAAACGTAGAAGTGTGGTCTAAGGCCCCGTGCAGACCTACGCAATCCGGGATCCCGCGGTTCTGCACAATGCAGGCCGCGATTGCCACGCGGCCCCATTGATTTCAATGGGGTGACATCCGCGTGGCTATCACAGAAAAAAGGTACATGTACCTTTTTTTTTTCTGCGATACACGATGTGCGGCTGTTCTAGCCTCGATCATGTTTGGCGCAACTGGGGTGCCATTAGAAAATATTGGCACCCACAGCGCGATCGGTGCACACCTAGGCGACTCTGATCAGTGGCACGTTTTATGTTAATGCAGCTCTACTATTCAATAGCAGTGGAGACATTTTCTTCTGTGGAACATCTCCTAAAACATCTTGCACCTGGTTTGCACTGGTGATGATTAATCTCTCCTCCTGGTTTTGTATTTGTAAATTTGCACAAAAGTTTGCTTATAGAACTCTCGAACACAAATTGGAAACACTAGGGGCTTATTACAAACATTATCAAACTAGAGAAAGAATAAGGGATGAACTTGGTGGTGCTGTCAATTGTGACCAGCTGGATTTCTTGTTGGATATGTATATCAGGGATGGGCAAATCAATATCGAATTCAGGAGAAAACCTTAAAAGTTAGGCGCCAGCTGTGATTTATAAGGAGCATTGGCTTCCTTGCTCCTGGGATTTCCAGCCCTGTTTTATGTAAAATAAAAGATGAAACATAATTGGCCATTGTGGGCAACAACTGCATTTGTTTCCTCTCCTTGTAAATATCCCCCAGTGTTTCCAGTAGTGGAACTGTTAATGTCGCTAAATATAACCTATTGGCTGTATGTCACTAGAGGAGGAGGGCTTGACAATTACTGGATCTGCTAAACCATGCAGCCAGAATATGTGTTTGTGCCCATGCTACAATAAAGCCATTGGCAGTCAGTGCGAGGCATGCTACGTCTGTGATCCTGCAGTGTTCATATCTATAACATGAGGAAAAGGAGGCATGATCACACTCGCACACCTCCTGCATTTTCTGAATCCTTTCACATGTATGGAAGCAGTAATGGTGCTCATGGCTGAATTGTAGAATTTGGAGGGTGAACGGATGTGTAAAAGAATCTTGTACTGAGTGACTGTAAAGGGTGCCAATGCTGACCTGGGTGTCTTGTTTATCCAGTGGCTCTGATTACGTTCCTGGGAACTGACCTAGAACAAAGTTTGCAGATTAGGAGTCCTGATCTCAGTCTGACTTTCTAATTTGCATGCTTGTTCCAGGGACAGCTAGGTAATAAGTTGAACAGGGGTCATTGATTGCATCCCAATTATTAGTCTGTACAGTTTTCCCCCTAATGTGGATTCTCATTGGACATCCCTTTTATGGAAAGTTGCAATTCATACAATTTCAGCATACATCTCGCCTGTCAGTGTAACTTTTTTATGATAATGGATGAGTAGTGACGATATATTGGGAACCTACTAGATTGTAAGCTCTCACGAGCAGGGCCCTCCCAGCCCTATTGTTCTGAAAATGTATCGTACTGTAAATTGTATTGTAATCCATTATTTTGTAAAGCGCTGAGCAAATTGCTGGCGCTATATAAATCCTGTATAATAATAATACAAATAATTGCTGGTGAAGAAAGCTAAATGTATGTCTAATCTCTTTTGCAGGCTTTCAAGCCCCTGGTTGGAAAAGGTGCATACAACTCAATTATCGCAATAGAATTGTTAGTGGAGAGACATCTGGAGTTTGCAACCGAAGATAGTGCCTTTCAGCCCTATCAGGTAAGCAATCTGGATAAAGGAAAATGTATTGTATTCTCATGGCAATGCTGTGCCCTATGAGGTGGCTGTATTATTAGATGTGTTGACTGGGGGAACCTCTTGGGCGATAAGCTTGTTTATGGTGCTGATTTCAAAAGAAAAGTAAGAGAAACAAATGATTTATGGTCTACAAGCTGTTTAAGGCTTTTTGCTTTCTAGGGGATGGGTGGCAGAAAGGAACTAGTCATTTATCACCCTGTGACAGATGGATAAGATTAGCAGCAGGATTAAGTTTGTCCCAGAAACTTTGCTATGGCTACAGCTCAAAGAGTGTGCTTAAACCTTATTCCTCATTATTAAAGGACCAGTAAACCTAACATCTAAGTCTCTTTTGCCTAAAAGAGCTGTTAATCCAATCCATAAGTATGCATAAAGTTCTCATGCCGGGACAGAATTTGATATATTTAGCATTGCATGTGTACTTGATATACGAGTCAGCTCAGCCTTTTGTTATGTGGGCAAGCAAGTGCCACCTTTTTATTCCATGTAACCAGCCACGTTAGACAAAAAAAGGCTGAGTAGTAGATGCCTGCAGTGTTTCTCAATACATTTACCAGACAACAGGGTAGTTTTACACCTGGAACCAGCAGGAACTTATTTCACCTGTATCCATCGTTATAATGCATGACAGACATTCCCAGTACAATAATCTGTCCACCTAAACTATTTCTTGCATCCAAAAGACCCTGATTGTCTCCTGGGTTCTGTGTATTATGATTAGCTGCTGCAGTCCAAAGGTACCGGCTGTCCCACCAGTTGTTGCGTCCCACGTTAGCTATAAATATCTTTTCACACAACATACATGTGACAGTTGGTATTAGATATTTTCTCTTGATAATTGCTGCTTATGAAACTTAATTATTACGAATCAGGCTGAATGTGACTAACTGTTGCTAACAATGCTGCACATGTAAGTTGCTTCAGACATCCCTGCTTGTTAGTCATATGCACTTACATATTATATGGATAGCAATGGTGATGATAGAGATGAGCATTGTGGATTTGCAATGGTGCATGTATTCCCTTCTCAAATTATCAATTATATTGTCCCCTGGACAGTTTGGTGGTCAGCGCGTGTCTAGCGTTCCATAGATTTCGTATCTGGCCATCACCTTGGCATTCACCTTGAAAGTTCCACCCATCAACAAGAAGGTGAAATCTGGGGCAGCTTGATCCACAGTCCATGTTAAGCATAGTAGCGTATGGCCCTTTAAACCACCAACAGACTATTGTGATTTTGCCCCATGATGCATTGGATAGTGACAAACCTGAGTGATGCCAGGATCAAATTCAGGAGTTAATAGAGTGCAAGCTATAATTTGAAATAAAAATGGTGCTTCTGTCAGCCAATACAACATGGACTAAATCTCTGTCATCATACATAAAGCTTTACAGTAAAAGACGTGTGTGAAGCGTCCGAGCTTTGTGTTCTGTGTACTGCTAGATGTATTTCAGCAAATGTTATCTATGGTGCGTGAGGTTATGTAATGTACTGTTACATAAACACTGCTAGTGCTGTGGAGTGATAAAGGCCATTGCGAGGTGATTGGAGGAGCTGTAGCATGCATCTGCTGGAACTGGTTGGCTGTAAATTAAGTTCACAGTATGAGGTCTTCGTGAACCAGAGATAATGATGTGAGTAGATGGAAGAAAACAATAGCTATTTGCAGTTTGTATAGTTCTCTCTACATTCCTCTCATTTAGGTATAAACCTAGAGTTATGGTTGTTTCTCTTGTGTGAGCTGCTCAGGCCGGTATAAAGGTGCCCATACACTGCACGATTCTCGTACGAGAATCGCGGGAAATCCCGCGATCGTACGAGAATCGTGCAGTGTATGGAAGGCATGCGACCGTTTCTACTGTACAGTCGCACGACTTTTGTATTTCGAGCATGTTCGAAAACCAGCTGAGAATCGTACCATTTTCGGCTGGTTTGAATCATGCTCGAGAGATAACTGCCGCACGGGCCGGTGTGCGCACGCGCACACTGCCCGTTCAGCATTGCAGTCTTTGGAAGCCCGCCCCTCAGGGGGCGGGCTTGCGATGATCGCAAGTACGATCTGCCTGTCCAAGATGGGCAGACCGTACGTTTTTTTAAAGTACTTTACAACCCTCGCAAGACAAAAGTCTTGCGAGGGTTGTAAAGTGTATGGGCACCTTTTTAGAATGGCCTTGTCTTCAATATAAAATAATACGGCTTCCAACTATCTCACAAGTCAGGGGAAGAAGTGGTGTTATCTGGTGGTGAATGAACCGTTAGCGTTGATACTCCATGACTCTATGCATACATTCAGCAAAGATTGGGCACCCTGGATCATTAATTATATTCCCCCAGAGGTGGAGATGGTGTTAACGGCAATCTAGTCGTATGATCTACTGACTAATTGGGAGATCTGGTTTCCCATAGGCTCTCCCCTCCTTCCTTTCCTATTTCCCTACCCTATTCCCTCCAATCCTGAACTTTTCTTTCTCCTTCTACTTGTATTTCTCCTCTCTACCTATCACCTGTCTTTTATACATTTTCTTTGAGTCCTTTGTCTTATATACCTGATCCTATAGATTTGAATGGGCCAAGTGTGATCTGCACTGGGTCCCCTGGGGGGCTTAACGAGCATTTTTATCTTTGCTAAGAAACCTTTAAATGGTACTAATATGGGAATTTCACTGGCTTCATTTACATAAGGCATTGTGACTGACTTTTGACTCAGTAGAATTCAATAATGGCATTAAAAACTCAACCGTGTGTGTGTTTTTAAAAAGCCGGCTTTGCACCAAGTGAATTTTGTCTGTTTGCAGTTTAATTGGTCAAAATGTTATCCATGGGTGCCGACAGCATCTGGCTTGACACAAGGCAATGTTTCATTTGAATTTGGTCAAAGGTGCCAGGTGGAAAATGGTCGGCTGAACAGTGACTGCAGTCACTATTTGGGCATTCTCACAGCTGTGGGCATTGGCTGTCGGGATATAATAACCTGGCAGGGGTGATCAAACTTTTTTTTATTGTGCCGTGGGGCTTAAAGGGGGAAAAAAACTACTAGTGTATGATTACCTTTTTATACTTTTTTGAAATGTAATAAAAACTATTGTGAAAGATACTGCTATGCTGGCCATAGGCAGAATGGTCTTTCTGACACTTCTCCTTCTAGGATGCAGACTGAAGGGGTCATTACAGGGAGTGAAGTGGATCAATCATGGGTACTCTGCCCACTCTTTTTTATAACTGTGTGTCATAATATGAGTGGAATGCAGTTGTATTGCTGTTTCCTAATATTCCTTTTCTTATACCTGCGGTTTTTAGTGAAGTTGGCTTTAAGGCAGGGCTGGACAGATCCAACAAGCCAGGTAGCCAATGCTTCTTACAAATTATAGCTGGCACCTAACTTTTCAGATTTCTCTCCTTGTCCTTAATGGAGCTGGCTTCTTAAAAAACATTCTGCTGGCCCGTGCAATGGACAAACCAGTGCCTGAATTCCATATTAGTTTCCCCACCCCTGTCTTTAAGAGGCTTTTGTATATATAAAAAATAAATTCTAGCCTATTTTTGCTGCTCGTAGCACACATTCCGAATACTTGTTTCATTTTTAAACCAAGGAGAGGGAAAATGACAATTGGAAGGTGATTGGTTGCTATGTTCTAGGAAGATTATGTTCTTCCGGTCCCTAGTTGCCTTGTGATTCATGCAGCATTGTCGGGGCATTATTTTGCAAAAAAAGAATGAACTTGACTAAGTTTGCTTTTGTGAGGATGCTAGGAGACGATGAATAGCTAACATTTTGCGCCGTGGATCACTCTACCATGTGTTTGTGATTTAGTTATACCTTTTTGGAAGTCTGGCATAGACTGTCAGTCTGTTTTGAATCCAAGGCAGTGTTGGTATCCTAGGTGGTCGTGGTTTCTCTTCTTGTTTTTATTGCAGAGAAGCTGACGAGATCCAAGTGTTCAGTGGACCTGGAGTGGGTTCCAAGGAGCTGGTTGGCTGGCATTCAAGCGGGAGGAAGCGGCTGCCTGGCAGCACTTACCATCTCATTCCCCCCTGCTAAAAGGTTCTTGTTTTCTGATAGCGGAATAAATCTTGGAGGATGTGTTATTTCAGTAGCCCAGACCATCCGTGGATAATCCTACTTTGACTACTGCTTTTATATTTCGGCAATTGCCGGTGGTAGAGCCATTCCTATTCACGACCATGAACTTAACTAAACAAGTACATGTATTTCATAGCACTGATAAGAGGAATTGCAACACATTTAAACTTGACAAACTCGTGTTCTGGGGAAGGGATAAAGGTGGAGATACAAGTACGTCTGCAAATGCAGTATCTCACAGCTAGGCAATGTATGTAATATTATAAGTGACTAATCAACTGCGTTTGTCATTGACATTCCAGCTTCGGCTTGTGCCTGATCTCACCTGTACTGACTGTAATAATATCTATTGTAGATATTTCATATCGGCATCTGCAGGAAACCCATGTGAACACAGGGAAATGTGTAAGCCTCAGCGAGATAGTGTGGAACATGAACCCAGGACTTTGGTGCTGCTAGGAGAGATTAAGAATTACGTAACCAATTTGCTGCTCACCTGTTTAAGACATTGCCTCATAAAACCGATTGAAAGTCGGTTCCCTAAAGAAAAACGAGGACTCCCTGCCTAAAGGCTCGCTATTCGTAATAAATTGGATCAGCTCCCAATAGCGTGAGAGGCGAGTGTCTGTTTTGTCTGCGTTTTGAGTCCCTCCTTCATTTCTAAATGATCTCCATCCTTGGCGTGTGTGCAAGTTTTGTCTCTTATTAAACATAGCACGTTGGTTCAGTTCTGCAGCAGCCCTTGTTCCCCGTCAATAAAAAGTGTAGAGCTGCAGCATGTTTTATTTGGTGCACACAGGGATGCACAAGGAACCAGGAAGCCAGGTCTTTTTAGGTAACGCACTTTCTAGTGTCTTTTAGGTTGTCCATTCCTAGACC